CCTCTGAAAATGTATTTCGCCTTTTCTGCACTCAGTTTTGCTTTGTTTGGTGTCGTGAGACCATAGAATTAATGCCATAAACGAGGACTACAACTTTCGTAAAAAAAACATATCGTGAGAAAGTTATCATAATGACATCATCATCCTGTGACAGTCGCTCTGAGTCACAGGACATCGCTCGTGACAACCTGTGACACTGCTCACAGGTCTACTATCACCTGACTACTTGAGGGCAGGTCAATGTTATTTCATCGTCGCCTCTGAAAAAGTATTTTGCGTTTTTCTCACTCAGTTTGCTGCTGTTTGTTGTCGTGAGACCATAGAATTGACGGCACAAACAAGGAGCACAACTTTCGTAAAAATAATATATCGTGAGAAACTTGTTGTAATGACATCATAGTTATGTGACAGTCGTCTTGAGTCACGGCACATCACCTGTGACAGCTCTCATCACATCCGTGACATCAATCTAGTCACATCAGCCACATCTCAAGGTCACATGACCATGTCTCAGTGCCTGTCGCCAATGATTGTTGCCTATCCCTCTGAGTTTGCCTTCGTTTGCCACACTTTGTGCATCAAATCGTTCGTACTGATCAACCTCATCACTGACCATACTATTCTGGTGTACAGCCACTTCCAATCTTGTGTGATTCCCTTATCAGTCTTATCTCAAACGCCTGGAAAAACACTGATCGTGCCCTGTCCCCGTCAGTTTGTATCTGTTTGTCAAAGTTAGATGCTCAAAACATTGCTACTGATAGCCCCATCAATCTGACATACTATTCTGGTGCACTGCTTCACTCTAGCTCTCTCGCGACTGACATCTGTCATGCCAAATGTACCCGACATCTACAGCCACCGATCATGACAAATCGCACAATCCAGGCACAATCAGAGGCTTGAATAGTTGAGACTATAGGTCTAGCTTTCAGAAAAAAAAAGAATTAGCCTTATCCGTCCACTGGTTCCCATTATTCAGAGGGATCAAGAAAGGCCGCTAACTACCCCATTGAGCACTGGGTATATGAGTAGACTTATAATCAACCTACCTCGGGCTTCTCCATCATCGGAGTGGCGGTCATCACCACCTTCACGAGTCCCAGCTCCAAGATGGCGCTGAGGGCGTGCCAGAGGGCTCCGCCCGTTCTTGCCTCGTGGGCCTCGTCGATCCAGATACTTCCCCAGGAGAAGGAAAAAAGTGTGTCGGCTGGTAGTGAATACTTCAATCGTGGCATTTGGTCCTGAATTGAGTGAAGGATTTTGAACTTGTTCGTTTGGTACATGCGTTGTACCACCTGGAGGAAATATGAGTAGGCTTACAGCGGCCAAGAATCTTAGCCAGACGCACGCTGTGAGACGCCAAGACGATAGTGCGGTATTTGGGGATCGTCTGCTCTTGCCGAATCGCCCTCATCTCCACCTCCCAGTTTTTGGACGAATTAGTACAGACGAAGAGCCGAACTCCCCCATCCGTCCGCATGAAACGATGCGTTTCGTGTGTCCATTGGGGTAGCAAGCTGTTGGGGACGAGGATAAGATGCGCGGCATCTGGGATCTCGGCGTCGGGCCTGCTGCCAAAGCGTACGACTGGGGACGTGTTCAATCAAGGGCCGGCGAGGATTCTTAGCCGCACTGGACTTACCCTCTTTCAGGCACGCAGGTAACCCCTCCGGAGAGGCCGCTATGGGGCAGAGTCTGTTAATCGAGTAAAGATTGCAGTCAAGGCCATAACTCACCAAAATCACGGGGACGACCCCGTGCCGGATCTCCAGCTGCAATCAAGGGGGCTTTAGTATGCGTCTGAGAATCTTGGCCGCCAGCACTCACCGTCGTTGTTGGCAGGACTAGCTGCAGGTGGAGCTGCTGAAGAGGCTTGTGAAGCTCGGGTAAATAGAGGGCCAAGAATCTTAGCCGCCACCGCTCACCATCGTTGAGGTTCAGTGTCTGATTTGCAGTGGAGGACGCTAAAGCGCGGGTCAGCATGCGGCGAAGATTCTTAGCCGCTACCACTTACGATGACTGGATGCACGAGGGGCGACAGGAGGCTGGCCTGCATCAGTAGGGGCTAAAGCGCTGGTCACTACACGGCTAAGATTCTTAGCCGCCACCACATACCATTGTTGTTAGGTGCAGAGGCGGCGACAGGGGTCTGGATAGGGTGAGGGGATGCTACATCTCGGGGTCAGCATGCGGCTACGATTCTTAGCCACCACCACTCACTTGCAGAGCTGCCTTCAGGGCCAGTAGCAGTTGCGGGGGTCGATTTCGAGCTGGCTGAAGTGCTAGTCAGTGAAAGGCTAATATTCGTCGCCAGTAATGCAAGACGCACCTGAGGCCAGTCGCGTTTTGATTTCTTGTTGTAGGGCCCGATGCTGCATAAAAGACCCCACGGCACCCAAGGCTGACAACGTCTTACCAAGCCCGACATTGTCTAGGACGGCGATACCGGGGGTACGTCCCCAGCCTTCCCTGATGGCCACAGGAGCTGACGGGAGGGCCGAAGGGGTATGATCGATGCCGGGAAGGTCAGCCAGCTGGGGGCTGTTCAGCCGTGTGTATATGCCCGCGATGGAGCACATCTGGTGCCAAGCAAGTTTGACCTCTACTGCTCCTGGGTAGGGCTGTGAACCGCCGCCCACAATGTCCTTCACATTGTCGGATGTGTAGTTTCGAAAAAATGTGGGCCGTCCTTCAGGAAGGCCGGTGTTAAGGCAGACGTTCTCGTACGATTGATTTTGCCACTCTTCCATCCCCAGATCCGTGGTACCTGCTTTGAATTTCTCGACGGCGTTCGACTCGTCTTCGTCCTCGAAGATGGAGATGACGGTCCTCAAGTCGTCGGGCGCGGTTCGCCCCAGCCACGAGTCGACGACGTCCGAGAGGAGGTTGTTGAACCCGGTAACCTCTTCCGGGGTAGGTGGAGCGAATCTGTCTAATTGCCGAGCGGGGATTTTGTCGGCCAACGTCATCCCGTATTTCACTATGAATGTGTGTTCAGCAAATATCGGGCGTGAAAATCGTTCGCCCACGTACTAACGGTCTCGTCCTGCTCTCCTCCGAAGTCGATTTCGTTCTTCTTGCCGGTTTTTCTCTCGATAAGCTTGACTAGCCAACCAATGGCGAGCATGCAGTACTCGAGTTTTTGCCCGTTAGGTGAAAGCTTCTCCCACCGTGCTGTAATCTCGTCCGCAGCGGTAGGTTTCGTCAGATCTATCTCCTTCCTCGCGATTGCTTCGTCCTGGGGAGAGACAAGGCACCAAGACAGGTCCACTTTGAGTTTGGACAGCTTTGTAACGGCCTCCCTCGCCTTTCGGAGCGACATGTCGGTAGGGAGCTCAGCCGACAGAAATGAGTCGCCAAGGACCTTTTGGACTGCTGCCTCGTCCTTCTCGATACGGTTGGTGGCGCGGGTACGAACCTTTGACTGAGCGTCCATGAGTGGCTGGAGGTATCCATGCCAGAAGGTTAGGGCGGATGTGTCGATGCCCGCCTGAAAGACGACTGAGTCCCCCATAATTTTCGGAAGGATGGTCCCAAGAGAGGAGTCCCAGGTGTTGATAGGGAGAAACCCTTTCGCCGATTGTGGATCCTGGCCGTGGACAGAACGATAGTTCTGGGGACGTGTATACATAACACGCATGGACATCCCGTTCTCTTCCAGAGAGTCGAGAATCTAATATCTATCAGTAAATGTGATGTGTGGGAGGGAGGGAAGGACGTTACGATTTTGTCGAGACAGTTGTCCCACGTCTTACCGCGGGACATCTCAAGAAACACTGGTAGCCCCTTCGCCGTGTACCTGAAGTTATTTATCTCCGTAATCCCAGCCATGTCCCGCAGGGGCTCCACTCCCTCCTTCCAATCGCCCCAGTATTCCCCCCACTTTTTAATGTCTTCCTCATCCGTAAGCTCCTCTTCCCACAGCGGCGGCATCTGGGCTTTTCTCAGCGCTGCCCCCGCCGGCGTATATTTCTCCACCTCCTTCTCGTCAATAATAACCGACGTCGCCTTGGCGATATCGGGGTAGACGAGAATGAGGTGAATCACGTGGCTCAACTTGCGTGACGTGTTTTTCTTTGGCATCGTTCTTCTACCTGGGTTAGATAGACGGCCAACAATCTTAGATGGGCAGACCTCAGGTAATACATACAGAACGTGAGACCCTTACCGTGCGACTTTCTTATTATATATGGGTTCTTAGGTTTGGTTTTGTGTCTAAAGTTCTATATTCGCTTTCTACGAGGCACGCGTTCGGTTTTGCTACGGCTTACTGCGCGAGCTTGCTGTCGAGGTCGATGACGAGGCTAACGTATGTTGATACGGTTTACAGCGAGCTCGCTCTTGCAGAGAGATGGTGGTGGTAGCTGGTCAAGAGGTGTCTGTTACATAAGACGCTCGAGCATTTCTGATAATTCCCATACCCACGGTCTCAGAATTTTCCCAGCACGTGCGGCCTTCCTAATCAGGTTCGGGAGGAAATAAGCCCTAACGTGTATATACCTTCCCTGCCTGCCCTGATATAGAGGATAGGTTGATAATCTTAGCCGTCTCTCGCCATTTGCTGGTCAGCCAGCATCCTGCCTTAAAAACGGCTGGGAATCTTCGCCGTGCGTGTATGGGTACCTGAAGTGCGCCTGTTCGGGGGAGCTCCGCCGCTTCTCCCGTGGATCAATGCCCTCTACTGTATACGGCCAAGAATCTTAGCCGTACACACATGGGGCCTTGCATAGCACGTGCGCCGTGAGATACCCAGGCGTGCGTTTTCCCATGACCCAGTGTACCTAATTGTGGCTCAGAAATGACAACCACAACTACTCCAGATTAGTACTGGAGTTTCGAAACACACGTCTAATGTCAGGGTACAGTGGCCTAGTGGTAACGGCGCGAGTGGGTATGTAGAACATCCCGGTCGTAATGCCTCCCTCGCAATCCTCAGTTCGATTCTGAGCTGTACCAATTTTTGCCGTAATATTTCTCGAATAAAGCCTGACCGTAACGGTACAGTAGCCTAGTGGTAAACGTCCGAGTAGGTAGATAAAAGATTTCCTTCATTCATGCATCGAGGTCCCCAGTTCGAATCTGGGCTGCACCAGATTCGACTCGGACATTAGTCTGACATTGATAGTGATTTTGGTAGGTTTTTTGGGTGACTACGAACCCTAAGATGTGCCATTCTGTGGATCTAAAACACCAGCAGTGGACGTTGATGGCCATCTGTGCTCCCAGCGGTACAATGGGAAATTTTGCCTGCGAGGGGCGTCCCCACAGGAGGCGGCTAAGAATCTTCGCCGCGCGTGGAGGGAGCTTGTGAAGTCACGTGACGTGCGTCGGCATTCGCCGGCAATTTTCCCATCCGCCAGTTTGCCATAGTGAGGGCAGCTAAGATTCTTAGCCGCCTGCAAAGCGTCCTCTGCAGATCACATGCGTCGGCAATTCCCGTGAGTTTTCCCATAAGCCATTATCCCGTATCCAAGGGCAGCTAAGAATCTTAGCCGCCTGAGTACGCCGTCTATCTGAGCACCTGTTGTTTTTTTTTCGGTTTTCCTTTCGTTGCGCCAGTGTTCAGTACGAGAAAGGGCCAAGAATCATAGCCGTCTGTGCGCACGTAAACGTTGCTGGCGGTTTCCCCCACCCTCGGAGTCCTTCTAGCCACTAGAAGCGTTCTTCAACTCAGATATTCATTTTTCGTTACCTGTCCTCCCTGTTAGAGTCTAGTTGTACCTCAATCCAACTGCTGAAAGCGTTCTCGCAGCGACAAAAGACCACAATCACTCGTCGATCCGTAAAAACAAGTTCGATTGGTTTTCCTTTGTGGAAGTGATTCGACCAATCTGAATCTTTTCGTTTTACCTAGCTTGGCGGCTCTTCATTCCCTGAAACAGCTCAGCGACCTCAGTCTTTTCGTTTTACCTACCTCGTCGGTTAACCTCGCAGCCTCGACTCATTCGCGTTTCCGTTGCCGCAACTTTGAGACTCAACCCAGTCCGTACACGCAGTTCTCCCTACTCCCACCCCGTCGCATGGCAGATCAACTTACCGTCGAGCAACGACTACGCCGAGCGAAACGGAGACACTTCAAGGGAGAGAAGGATGGCCAGATCTATATGATTCGAGGTCGACTACAAAATGGCGACGTTATCTGGAAGGTCGGTCGATCGGTTGATGGGGAAAAGCGAGTTCAGTGCCACCGAGCCCACTGCAAGATCGAACGTTGGACCTCTACTACTATTTGGGACGTTGCAAACTACATCAGGACCGGTAAGTTTTCACTTGTGACCTGACTTGAAAGCTCACTGAGATTTTGTTTAGAGGCCTGTATACACCTCGAGCTCGAACGTTTGGGATTTCAGCACTATGAGCATCAATGCCCTTGTACGTTTTCAACTTACCTCCTTTGCACAACTAACCTCTCGCTTTCTCAGGCGGCACTCGCCACAACGAGTGGTTTACCTACCCCGACGTGAAGACTGGCACTCGAATAGTTCGAGATCTCGTAGACACATACGAGAAACATCATTGAATACCCCCGTACATGTATCATCAAACTACATTTTTCTTGTATCCTCACCTACACTTTCTTGTATCGTTGCTATCGTATTATTGTAGTTTTCTTGTTTTGTTGTTCTAGCTACCGTGTATCGCTAAAACCGCATTGTACACTAGGACACTCACACCTCCTCAGAATGTTGTAATTGATCAGTACATTATCGGTACCAACACCACTTTTTCTCCTCACTCGTAGCGATGTGTGACACAGAAAACATTCAAACGAGTTTCTACAACACTCAGAACACGGTACTGAGAGGCAGCTAAGATTCTTAGCCGCTGCACGATAGGCACCTGCAATCACCATTGCGCTAGCACTGTTGCGTGTGCTGTGCCTGTGGCAGCTAAGAATCTTAGCCGCCCTGTGTAGGCGGGTGTCGATCAGCTGGCAGCCAGTACACATACTGGACTGGTGCTGCTCACACAGCGGCTAAGAATCTTAGCCGCCTGTACGCAGGCGCCAGGATTCCTTGCTGTTCTGGGTACGGCTAAGATTCATGGCCCTCTCACGTGTGCTAGACTCCTCAACTCGGGCCATGCGAGTAGCCCATGGGCGAGGCAGGGTTTCGCCCCCAGGGCCCCCAGGGTTTCCAAACCCTGGGCAAACCCTGGGTGCCATCTTAGCCATATATAACCCCTAATCTATGCCAAACCACTTCACCGAACCGCTAAAACCCGAACCCCTAAACGAATATCTTAACGCATGCTAATTCCAAATATCTAATTCACTTTCAATTCATCCATCTACAACACTTAATACTACATCGGGCTTACTACTACTTCCCTGATAACTACTACGGGCTCTACTACACTTATAATACTTCATACTAATATACTATATACCAATACTTACTCTGCTACTACAACTATTCACTATACAATGGTTCCTACTACCGGGCTTAGCCTACTAACAATCCATACACCACCAATCAACCATACAAATACTCTACTACACTGGTACTGGCCACCAATACTACTCCTCAATCATCCTTCATATACTGTACTATCAATGTCTACAATCTTCTACACTTGAACAATAATACTACTTACTACCTGTACTAATCTCTGACATACTACCAATAACCTGCTCAATATTGCTACTGCCACTGCACAACTTACTAACCATCACTATACTACTGTACTGACTGGTAAGTAATACCTCTACACTGGTCTAGTAACTACTTATGCTGCGCTTTTTTGTACACTTGGGTAAGTAAATTGAACAATGGTTACTTCAACTGTATACTGTACTGACTGGTATGTAGCTTGGATATACTCTGGCAAGTACTGCTACTACGCTTTTTGAGCTACTTGAGGGCAGGTCAATTACACTTGCACTTGGTAACATTCACTGTAGGGCAGGTCATTCACACTCAACTATAGCCTGTAATACAGACTGACACACAGTACTAACACTTACTACACTATCTACAGTCAAGTAACTAGCTCCACTACACTTTTTGGTCACTTTAGGGCAGGTCATATATTTTTCATCGTCGCCTCTGAAAATGTATTTCGTGTTTTCTGCACTCAGTTTAGCTCTGTTTGTTGTCGTGAGACCATACAATTAATGCCATAACAAAGGACTACAACTTTCGTAAAAAAAACATATCGCGAGAAAGTTACTGTAATGACATCATCAGCCTGTGACAGTTGCTCTGAGTCACTGCACATCGCTTGTGACAACCTGTGACACTACTCACAGGCCTATCATCACCTGACCACTTGAGGGCAGGCCAATATTATTTCATCACCGCCTCTGAAAAAGTATTTCGTGTTTTTCTCCATCAGTTTGGCTTTGTTTGTTGTCGTGAGACCACACAATTACTCGTACAAACAAGGACCACAACTTTCGTAAAAATAATATATCGTGAGAAACTTGTTGTAATGACATCATAGATGTGTGACAGTCGTGGTCAGTCACAGGACATCATCCGTGACAGCTCTCATCACATCTGTGACATCAACCTAGTCACATCAGCCACATCTCAATGTCACATGACCATGCCTCAGTGCCTGTAACCAATCATCGCTGCCTAGCGCCATCAGTTTGCGTTCGTTTGCCATACTTTATGCATCAAAACGTTCGTATAGATTCACCTCATCACTGACCATACTGTTCAGGTGTACAGCCACTACCAATCTTATGTGATTCCCTTATCAGTCTTATCTCAGAACGCCTAGAAATCACTGATCATGGCCTGGCGCCGTGAGTTTGCCTTTGTTTGTCAAGGTTAGATGCTCAAAATCATCCTACTCATAGTCCCGTCAATCTGACATACTATTCAGCTGTACTGCTCCACTCTAGCTCTCTCACGGCTGACATCTGTCCCCCCAATTCTAGCACATATCTACAGCCACAGATCATGACAAATCGCACACCCCTGCCAAGATCAGAGAGTTGAATAGTTGAGAGTAGCTACTCAGCTTTCAGGAAAAAAAAGAATTAGCCTTATCCGTCTACTTTTCACAACTATTCGAGGCGTTCTTTGGAGGGTGATATCTGCTGTAGATATCACCCGGTATATACATAGGCCCAGGTTCAAATCCTGGATGTTGCAGAACTTTTTTGTAATCGCCGTTTTGTCGATGTGGAGGTGTTTCTGTCAGAGCACAGGCCCGACGCCGGGGTACTACAATCGAGTGACATTATGGGGCGGAGAGCAGCTCCGTGACTCGGGCTCCCGGTTGGGATTGGACACGGCAAAATGGCTCTCCGCATGGGTCCAAGATGGAAATCAACACAGGTCCCATGTTGGACAGCGAACTCTTCAAGGCCCCAACTCACTCCGGTGTCCCCTGAGGTACATGTGGGTCCAGGGACTACTGAGTATCTGAGATTGGGCGGGAAATGGAACTATACGCATGAGAGCACAACATTATTCCAGGCGACATTGGTGTAGCGGTTTGCACGGTGTGCCATGTGATCCCCAAAAACGTCGACATATTCACACAGCTCCAGGTTCGAGTCCTGGATGTCGCAGGACCTTTTTGTTGGAGTCCGCGGGCTTTTTGTGTCCCGGGCCTAACCCGCACCAGCCCCGTAAGCGATCAGGAGCACTGTCAATGCGGACAGATGCCTGCCTGACCCCGTCCCCAGACTGCTGTACTGCCTGGGGATAGGAAGGTTTGGAGACCCGTCGGTGAATGTGGGTCCAGGAGCCGATGGACGGTTTGGTCAGCACACCTCATCATTGTCGGTGCCTGCCCGCAGGTGCTCGGGCTGCCGGATAACGAATAGAAGCTATTTGAAGAATGCGAATAGTTACTCTGGCCCGTGTATAGTGGTCACAGGGAAGTGCATAGTTCAATTTCCCTTTTGGGGAAAATGAATAACGGGTTATGGGGCTTCCCTGAGACCGATTGCCAAATCGGGAAAACGTCGGCGCTTACCGCTATTCGTTTACGTTACGTGTCCCGCTTGTTCCTTCAGAGTATTTGGCCTCTCCCTCCCTCAGTTTTTATTGAATAATTTTTTTTGAAGTGGTTTTAGACTCCTACAGACCATAGCTATCCAATGATACCATTTTTATGTGAAAGCATTTTTGCAATATACATAATAAACCACGTAGATGTTTATAGAATAATATTGAGTTTCTCCCTCACCGGAAGCGAGCCAATTAGATCACCCGTTGACACTATCTGGGTGGAACAGTGGGAAAATGGTGCCCCGGGGTGTGGATGGTCTGTATTTTGAACGGATGCGATTCTCAACATGTTTGGCAGTAGATAGTGAAGTTCAGAGACCTACCTATACGCGAAACAATTAATCTTGAGAAACGGAGCAGTGGTTCCAACTATTTCGTGGTTCAAGATTTCGACGCCCGTTGACCCCGAACGGGTGATGGGAAATAAATAGAATTGCGAGCGCTTGTAAGTTATACATCTCTCGATATCCACTCACTACTTGCTTGTCAACAATTACCGCTCGCCAGCCCTTTATCATGCTCAAGTCCGACACTGAGTAGGTCACTATACGCGGGTGGTAAACGCCCCGATTGAACCCTACGTAATGAGCCCATCATAACGGGACCCGCATCTAAGTGTCTCACAAACTCCGAAGTGGTCACAGTGGTATCTATATCCTCTTCGGCGGTCGAGGCGAAGATATCGTGACCGTTTGCCCCAGCAAAATCGGAAGGGGGCCACTGTACATTCCCTTTCTTGAGCTTGTTCCACGGTGTTGTGCGATATAGCGGATAAGGTTCTGGCTCAGTCCCATCTTGATAGATATGAGTCAGCTCCGAGCCTAGTAGAATAAAGGGCTAGAGGCTAAAGTACCTCGCTGGCGAGTGTTTATCTCTATTCTCCTCGAGTCATTGAACTCTAGGGTTTTGTTCGCCCTCTTCCTGAAGTAGCAGACGGATCCAACGAGAGCTGCCAGTGCCACAGCTATCCCGATTGAAATCGCTACTATATCACCTGTCCGAAGTGAATACGACTCGGACTTTGAACCGGACTCGATGGGGATGGAGGAGCGATTGCTCGGGGCGTCAGTAACTGACGTCGGGGAAGCAGACGTCGTTGTGTTAGCGTTCACTGCCGGGCATGTTTTGAAAATGTTGTTAGGATCGCCATCTTGAGCCTCCTTTAGGCGCATTTCAACCCACTTGCTGCAGGGGGCGCATAGCCTTAGCAGTCATATAGCCGTGAAACCAATAAGAGGACTTACTAATACCTAAGAATGTTCGGAACCCGTCAGCGAACAATTGACTCGGAGCAACGGCAAGGGAACCAGTGAGTCACCACGATCCAGACGGCCAGCCTGCGGCGTAGATGTAGTTATAAATCTTGATGTCTTCATTGCATATGGCGGTTTGAGTCTTGAGCGGTACTCTGATAGCAAAGATACACAGTCAAACAGGGAGCATTGATCCAAGTGATAAAAATATCGACCCAACTCACGTTTTGTACAATGCAGGGCTACAGGATGTTTTGTCTAGGCGACCAGCGGTCAAATAGGCCTCGTAGGTGCCATTCGCTGGTTGTACGGTGAAATTGAGTTTTGTAGCTTGGAAAAGAGGTATGAAAGGCATGGAGATTCTTACCAGCATCACATCCGTTCCCGGTTTTTCCCATTCCAAATTGACATCTAGAATGCGCGCAGTTTCCAACTATTGGTTTGGTTTTGACAATGTATGAATCGCAGCCTCACGTTTTGCAAAGCATACTCAGCGCGAAGGCAATGCTGTTGCAACAACAATCGCCTGTTTTTTTTCAAGAGTCAGTTTATACTATAGACCCATCAAAGGCGAATCCCACGCACCATTCTTTCCATCGCAGGTATCGTGAGGGGTCTTATCTAAGACCATCTGCCCGACTAGGTCTAACGGAGAGTGAGGTGGAGAGCAGTAGCGGTAATATGAGTTCCAAAAGAGCGACCAAAGGAAGGAAAGGCAAGGAACGCACAATTACTGTCACAAATTTGTCGGAGGCGCTCATAGGTTCTACCTGGAGGTGGAATATTAGGGCTGATAAACGCATAACTTGTTTGAATTGAGACGAACATGGCGTCTCCCCAACAGCTGCGACGTAGTAATCCAATCCAGTGTCATTACATGTAGATGTTGCTACTCCCTGAGCCTGAGCGGTCGAATCTAGAAGCAGCGCGGAAATGAAAAGTATAAGAACCAATAATGGCGAGGTCGCAAGCATAGCTAGGACTGGACGACGAAGGAAACAGAGAGATGTATGACTGTGGAGGTCGATTAAAAGGCTCTGCAACAACGATGCTGTGGTCTTTGATTGATCGATGGTCGTCCTTGCGTTCGCGTTGATATTTATACCATCCTGAGACCCAAGGTGCGATGGGGCGAGACGAGACTTTTGTCGAATCGAGGTTTTCCCGTCAGTTCCATGCATCGGGGAGTATTCGCTAGCAAATGAGAGAATCCCAGGGCCTGAAGCTACTGTCGCTGGTCCCTAGGTCAAAAGGGAAAAGGAATAAGACACGACGAACGTCGGAGTTTTAGATTTGATATGCGTGTGATAGTCCAGGCACAAGCTACCGTTGTGTCGAGTTTACCAGGGCAAGTACGTGAAAGTCATGTTAGAAAATACTGCGAGTGCTTACTTAGATTTCAAAGGGAGAGAGGACAACGTACGAGCCCAATGTATGAGGGAGCTCACAGGTAGAAGGAGTTTACAGGAGGCAGCGCATATGCGCCTGCGAAACGATCATCACTTCTACTTCATCAAGCGATGCCATCGACTATCGCTTATGACAAGAGAATCGCAATTCTGATTCCACCACGGATGTTGCCCGACCCCGACAACCTTCACGTACCAGCAACACGGTATAGCACCCGGTCGCTCAAGTTCACATCAGTGCTGTAGCACAGGCCGAAGTCCACTCGATCAACCAGGACAAAGCGGTACAATTTTGGGTGTAACTGCCACTGCTTCGAAAGTTCTTGATCGCTAGGCGGGAATTGGCGAATTCAGAGAGGATGTCTAACAGCGAGTGGACGAGAACAAGAGAAGTAACATTCCAATCAGGTTCTATGTGCTGAAAGCTTGAGAGAACTGTTTCGTCTTGTTGGATTTTGGATAACACGGGGGTAAGAAGATGAGAAAGGTACGTGTTTTCGCTCAGGCACGCACGATTTGTTCACTACCTTCACAGGGCTCTCACCCCCCCCCCACGGTTGGACCTGTGACATGCCCATCAATGAGCAAGCATCTTGTGAGGGGTCGGTTACGGACCTACCCCACGGTGACCACGAATGAGTTCGGTCTGTGTAGACTAAAACTACGATGGTGTCTCGCCGGCCCGATGTAGTACTCCAATCCGGTGTTATTGCATACAGGCGCTGATACTCCCTGGGTCTGAGTGGTGAAATTCAAAGGCAACGCGGAAGAGAAGACTATAAGAACCGATGAAGGCGAGGTCGCAAGCATAGCTCAGGTTGAATGCCGAAGGGAGGCCCAGGGAGATAGAGCCTATAGAGGATCCCAGAGCCTGATGTAGGACGCTCTACGTCGGACGGCACCGTGGTCTTCGATTGATTGATGATTGTACTTGCACCAGGCTACCAGTAACTCTCATAGTATAACAAAATCCAGTACAACTGCGGGTTCAATGTCAACGTTAAAGTGCCTTTGCTTCGAAAGTTCCTGATTGTTCGGCGGGAATTGGCGAATTCAAAGAGAATGTCTAGTAGCTAGTAGACGAAAACGAGGAAGTTACGTAGTGGCATTGTCTTTAGATCATGCGCGCCGAAAACGCGAGAACTGTGAGGACGAGCTGGGATGCGCGGAGGAATTGAGCGCCCTATCGTGTTGGAGGATAAGAACAAAAAGCCGTGTGACAATTTCGCTTGGACAGCTTTGTCCATTATCCCCGAACGCGCGCCGGACTTCGGGCTATGCTTTCAGCTCTAGCGGATAGATCCGTGACTCAGCACCAAGCGCAAATCGCTGAAAATAAAGTCACTCTTTCTGTGGTAAAGGTACACTTAATACTATCGAATATACCTCTTATCTTCCGGGTTCGTTGCGAATTCCACCCGAACTGTTTTCTTCTACGTATGTTCAATTCATCTCGCTATGACTACTATGATATCCAAGCTCTCCGTGCCAACTTTGGCCCTGAGAGTAGTTCGTGCCACGTTATCCGGTAGGCCTCATTCGAGCTCTCTTTAAATGGGAAGTAGAGAACACAGCTAGTTGCTTGAAAGCTGAACGTTGAGGAGTGTGGGTGGGTATCAGAATATTGGGGATCGGACTTCGCCGTGATAGACTTCTCGACTACTGATTCCGAGGGCCAAACGATAGACAGCTCAAGAAGATCAAACACTTCACTTAAAATACTAGGACACCAAAATGGAAGAGTCAGCTGACAGATGAACAACAGGACGTTCAATTGAGGACTCGGACGACCGGAACGCTAAATAGAATAAGCTATAGTGGTCGGGAAGGGGTGAGAATGGAAGTATGTTGATACTATTTTCAAGTCGGACCGAGAAGCCAGTACTTGTGTGT